CTACAGATTCAGAAATGATAGAAATCTCTAAAAAATAACATTATAAAAACTTCTTTCGCCTAACTGATAACTCTAAGGCATTATTTTAAACCGGCATTCTACGTTTGAAAACAATTATCTTGAAGTCATGACCAGCGAATTCCACGCCATCGCTGCTGTCCGTGTGGCTGTTGTCGTCTTGGTACAGCTGTACAACATCCGTAGTCTGAACCAAATGTTTATTTTATCGGAATTATTATTAAAATTTAGAATATTTATTTGATGACTGGAAAATGTAAATAAGGGCAAGTTGTCTGAGAAGATATATATTTACTTTTCACACATTTTACTATGAATTTCTCCTTTCAGCTCGATTCTCGTCAATTTTTTTTAATAATCAGGCGGTAGCTAAAATGAGATTTAATGACTGAAGTATTCTCATTGTAAAATAAAGGTAATAATTTAGTCGATGTATTTATGAATTTAACATCTGGTTAGGTTCTCTCTCTGTACTCAGCGACGGCTGACGAATGACGTCTGGTCCCACTGCAGGTGAGACGTGCAGGTCTCGATATCTTCGATCTTGACGTCAATTGGAAGCAAATGTTGTGTCACAGACACACGACCAAAGTCGCAAAGGAAATTTCTGAAATGGAGGTTTTTATTTTGCTAAATTAATAATCTCATTCATAAATGTTCGATCTTCAAAAAGTATTTAGATCTAAACTTCACTGACATCTAGACGTACGAAGAACACATGTATTCTACAAATAATATGAAAATATGAAATACCCTGGTATACTTTTACGGTACAGAACTAATTAATTACATTCGGGCGATATTCATAAATTAAAAATGGTTTGATTATCAACAGCATTTGCATGTACCAATGTGAAATAGGAAAAAACATTTCATTCGTTTTTTATTGTTGCATTCTTAGCTGATAAGTGGCAGCTTAGATACCTGGCATGTTTTGACTGCACCTAAAAGTCACACAGAATTCCAAGAAGCGTAAGACGAGGCACGATAAGTTTTCTTGCGGTTGGTCATGTGTCACATGGCAACTTCCACGCCCTGCTAAAATGGCTATTGCCAGGAGTAGTATAGATAGTGTGCAGGGGCCATACTTTCAAAATTAGCTAAGTGAACGTAAGTACTTACGCTCTATTTTCTTGTCTATGATTGGTGGATTTTGCTTGAAAGGCCGTCAATGATTGGCTGATGAACTTACGATCTCTTAACTTTTTTTTTAAGTATAGGCCCAGATTAGCACAGTTAACATGAACGCCTTAAATCACAGGTTACCGATCATTTACCCACAATCTTTCATTGAATCTTAGCCATCAAAATTTTGTTGACCACTGTAACCCGATCGAAACCTCACCGAGCACTCAAAATATTTTTTATTCACCCTAATTATTAAAGTTTGGAAACTGTTCGTTTACTAAAAACCCTGAAGTCACCTTGAGTGAGTGTCACTATGAAAGATTATTCTTTGATATATATAATTGATTTAACTTTTTGAAGTACTTTCCAGAACCCATGTGCTCATCTTTATTAATCAGCACAAATCTATTAGGTTCTTAAAACGTTTTACTACAGAGTTTTTGAAATTCTGCAAAGGGCATATCGCAAGAGTGGTAGTCACTGTGAATATTCTTCATATCAATGAAATGTAACTCGAATATAATTAATTGACTTGATTTCGTTCTAATGGATTGTATTGGTAATATGTGATAGTTTTAGGATAAGTAAATTGAATCAGTAGCAATATCATCAAAAATGAAGAAATTTTTTTTCGTGATCTATGCCACTTCGATCAGGTACAGATCGATGAAGCAGTATTCTCTGAGTATTCGATTGCACATTTTTGTTGACGTCTTTTAGGGGAATTTTCAAGATATTCATCAATATTTTCATTTCCGTTATAAAATAAATCAATGATTTCAGATTTACTGAATCCCTTATCGAAAGCATTTTTTAAACAATTTCTATTCAGGCTGGTGAGTTGACTTACTATGCAGGAGAAGATTGTTGAAATCATTAAAATTCTCCATTAGCAACTTCCGTAGTAGTGATGTTTTTCCACAGTTCGATCTCTTATTTATGAGACACCTCAAACTTGAAGAATGAAATATATACTGTTTCTTCAGTTTTTGTTTTTATTATCGTATTTCCGTTTCTAGAGCATTTTTCAAAGTCGTATTTCTAAAATCTTTTTCAATGATTGTTCTAATATGTTCGCTTGAATTAGAATCTTATTTATTTTGGTGGAGAGATGGTGAATATAATCGCAGATATTATCAACAACAATCTGCAACTGATTAATATTTCCTTAATTGAACATCACCTCTCTTTGGACATCTGTTATTGCCTCTTCTATTTTTTTGATTGAAGGACAATTGCCCTGGTCGAGGTAAGCGTTCGTCAGGCCAGCCACGGCCAGCAGGAGTACAGCGGAGAACCTGCGTCAAAGGGAATAAAATCGTGTATAAAATATCATGGTTAGCACACAATTAGAGCAATAAAATTGAGTATAAAATTGAAAAATCATCGCTTCATAATTTCAACCAAATTTAGTAGTATGAAACATGAAAATTATCTTAGCATTATAGCAAACAAATTTAGTGTAAAATAAATTAGTTATCACGTCATCATGCAGTGTAGTTCAGAAAATGAACCCATAATTCGTAGAAGGGATAAATTTGTAGCTTGTTCTAATTAGCATCGAATTTATTTATTCAAGTTACGTTGTAATTATCGATTTTAATAGTAATATAAAACACTTTGTTTTACAAATATTCGAGACGTCCACCAAAAATTTATTTTTATAATAAAATGCGAAGACTTCAAAAGTGTGTCTTAATATTGTTGTAAATAAATATTAAACTCACTCGATTGCTCGATCGATGCCTTTCATAAATGTTCTATCTTCTTAGTTTATATTTGAAGTTCTTGAAGGAATAGTTAGAATGAGAATTGTCTGGGAATTGTTTCATTAGAGTATTTCGGTAAATGGTTTTTCGTTTTACTAAGACTCTACTTTTCGAGGTGATCGCGAAATGTGTATAATACTCAATGCCTCGCTCACCCGTTCATGCTTGCGATGAAGTCAGACGATGTCGGACGATAACTGCGATTTAGACGTGACCGCGCACTCCTTATATCGTCTGCACCGTCGGCCACGTGGTGCACCGCCGGCCAAATGACGTCAGTTCCAGGCCGCGGGAATGAAGGCAAAGTCCGTCTGACGTCACGGCTGCAGCTGCCGTTTGGTTATCAGGTCATGTGATTTGTTTTGGCTACTAACGACACCTTATGGTTCCCCACTTATAATTTGTATTTCTTATTTATTCAGTAATAATTTAAAAGCAATTGAATTAATAGAGACCGTATATCAAAATTTAATACGATGAATTTTCTCTTTCAGCTTGATTCTCCGAAAAGTTTTTTGATAATAATCAAGCCGCAGCTTGATTAAGAGTTAATGCACGTTTTCTTATTGTAAAATAAAGGTAATGATTTCGTCGATATATTTAGAAATTTAACATCTGTTTACGTTCTTTCTCTGTACTCAGCGACGGCTGCCGAATGACGTCTGGTTCCACTGCAGGTGAGACGTGCAGGTCTTGATATCTTCGTTCTTGACGTCAATTGCAAGCAAATGTTGTGTCACACACACGGGAAAGTCACGAAGAAAATTATTGAAATGAAGTTTATTTATTTTGGGAAACTAATAAGCTCATTCATAAATATTCGACCACTAAGAAAGTACTTAGATGAAATCTTCAATGAAATCTAAACGTATGAAGAATGTATGCATTTTACGAATAATATGAAAATACTCGTACGTATAATATATCATTGGACACTTTTATGGTACAGAACTAATTAATTACGTTCGGTCGATATTAACAAAATAAAAATGGTTTGATTATCATAAACATTAGCATGTAACAAGGTGGAAAGTAGAAAAATTACGTTACAAATATTTTTCATTATCGCATTCTTAGCCGATAAGGGACAGCTTAGATACTTTTCGTGTTATGACTGCAAGTGAAAGACATAATTCCTAGAAACGTAAGACGAGGCACGAGAATTTTTCTCGCGGTTGGTCATGTGTCACATGGCAACTCCCGCGCCCTGCCCGAATTGCTGTTACTAGGATCTGTAATTTTAGCATCATATATAAGGAAAATATCCATCAATTTGCATCTGAATTCTATGGTATACGCCTTCGACTCCTCACCACGCATAGACACTCATGGCCTCTCCTTTCCCATCTTTCGAACTCCCATCGACCCGGAGCGATACACTTCCCATTGTCGTTTGTCAATATGAATAATACATCATTATTAGGCCCAGTTCATACCATAAGAGAGACATGAGTAGTTTATTGTTTTTCAAATTATTTTAAAATCTATTGCGCTGCATTCACCTGAACTGACACCTGCTCAGTATCATGAATTGGTTGGTACTTGCGTCATCACTTCTTATTCCCAGGGTTATGTTTTCTCAATTTACACTGGCACCTGTCATCCACTCACACACTTGGGAATTCCAATCATGACATGTTTAACCTTATAACTGCCTAATCAATATATTCTCTCCTAAAATTATGGCTCTTAACCACCTGATAAATACAGATTAGGCAATGCATAGACACAAAGCATGCAATCCACCCTATAAATGTCAAGCAAGCCGATGTTGAGAGTAAAGCCTTCAACGTATCATGCATGCAATCCACTCAGTAACTGTTGTGCAAGCCGAAGTTATGTGTAGAGCCTTCAACGTACCAAGCATTAAATCCTCCCCTCAACTGTTGTGCAAGCTGATGTTGAGAGTATTTTCCTCAACGTACAGAGCACGCAATCCACAAAGAACTGTTGTACAAGCCGATGTTGAGAGTATAGCCCTTAACGTACCAAGCATGCAATCCACTTCATAACTTTTGTGCGATCCGATGTTGAGAGCATAGCCCTTAACGTACAAAGCATTCAATCCTTCCTATAACTGTAGTGCTAGCCGATGTTGAGAGCATAGCCCTCAACGTATGAGACCCCAAAGTGTTGTTTTTGGTGATCCTGTCAAAACGGTTGGAGCTAATTTTACCGACTTTTGTATGTGTTCAGCATCATCTTAAGCATCATTTTGAGTTAGAGATAACCTGCCAAAAAGTTTTTACCTGAAAAAAAAGTAAAAGGAAGGGCGGGGTAGGTGAAGGGCCCCTTTCTGTTTTTCATGATTTCTCGCTGATTACATCATACTGTTTTCGTAGGTTCTATACATTGTCAATTTTTTAAAAATGCTTCTTCAATGTACTGATATGACTGCTATGTAAATGGAAAACATAAAAATGATTAATTTGGTTATAAAAGGATGGCGCCGTATATGTTTAAATGATTCAGTATAAAAAATACCACACCCATATTTTATTGAAACTAAAATGTACGAGGTTAAGAAAATTAACTGCTTATCACTAAAATGTTGTTCATGAGCCCTGGAAACCCATATGACTAATCTGACTTAAATTCCTCCAATTAAATGGGCAAAATAATGATGCTTATAGGACCCCACTTGATAAGCTACGTTGTGAAATAACTTTGGTAAGTTAAGGGATACAATGCTCTAATTACCAACTTTCCAAACAAAGTATGTATAGGGGCTTGAGTCTGTAGCAGGTGCCGCCTAGGACTCGGGATGCACGTAAATCAGCCGCTCTATGTCCTCTGTAGCCATTTTTAAGTGCACCCGCTATGCAGCTTGGAAGCTCAGCATGATGTGGCTTCGGCCAGTTCTTGTGATACTCTCAGAACAGTATAAAGTCAGAAAAAAATTTGACCTAAAGCTGCTTTCGATCCGGTGGCCATGCATTCAAATTGAAAAGCTTTGAGCACAAGCCATAAATGAAAAGATTCAATATTAAACTATCCGTTTTGTCTGACAATAGGTTTGCATTTATCAGCATTTCTCTTTCATACACACGATGAATTAATAAATGAATAAAAAAATGTTTCAACGAGAAGAGGCCGAAATTTTAATAAATAGTTGTGGAATACAGTAGATGCGAACTAAGGATAAGTGTCAATCATACATACCTCAATTTTTAAAATTCTTTTCGGACACTTTGTTGGAGGATTACGTCCATCCAAATCTGTAAGAAATTTCTTTACCACAGCTCCTTGGCGCGTCGGTGTGGAAAATTTGTTGAATTTTGTTTCTTTATTGAGTGAATGTATTTCTGAATGCCATTTCATTCACAACGAAGTGATCCATTTAGTGTAACATAGTAATTCTTGTTGATATTAATATTATTTCATTTAGAGGATTTAATTTAATTTGTTTCTCACTTCATGAATATAATCTATTATTAATAACTTATTGATAAATTTTCATTAAAAAAACAAATAGTTACTATACGCTGACGTACACTTTGGTTCTTGTACTTTGAAAACGAAATTGCCGATTCACTGGCTATGGGTACCAACATTTTTCTGGAACAGTATTTGCCGGTACCGAGTTTGCCGATACCGGGTTGCCGTCTCTAGATTAGCGGTATCGAATTTGCCTATAACAGGCTTGCCGTTACCGGTTGCCATCACCGGGCTTGCCGGCACAGGCTCGGTGTAGTCAAGTTTATCGGTGCCATTTCTGCAGGTACCGGGTCTGCCAGTGGAAAATACACGTCTTGAGCTCGGAAATGTAGCTTAAGAGCGTTGACCGGTAATGTAGACGACAAGTGTAGCCCTGGAATGTAGCCCACGAGTGTAGCCCTGGAATGTAGCCCACGAGCGTAGCTCTACAATGTAGCCCTGGAGCGGCCTCCGACCACAGCCGGGCTCCAGGTGCCTTAGATCGCCAACACCATGATTGAATCGGGCCCGAGGATGTAAACCGAATATCTTGTTACAAGGGCTACAACCCACCTACACAAAGGCTACAACCCACCTATTAGCTGGCAAGACGGCGAATTAATTCTACGAACTGCAACTTCATTGTTTGTTGCTTTGTGCTGCTACCAAGATACCTATTTGGCAGCCAAACCACGTGTCAGAACAAATCCAGATTGAAGCTGCATATTTCCTTCGTCGAAGATTCGATGAACAAGGTACTATCCTATCAAAATTTTGAATTGGTGGCGACCCTGAATTAGGAACCGCCTAGGACTAGGACCAAACGAAAATCAGTTTCTCTATGTCCGCTTTTTGGTCTACATTCCAGTCCCCGAATCAGACAGCTACAAGCGCCTGGTCCTTATTCTGTCAACTCTTTCCCTACTCTCAGAAGACTATAAAGTCGGCAAGGAGGTTCTGACTAGTCGCTGATTGCGATCAGTTGGCCAACCCGACCCAGAATAACTCTAACGCGAATACAGCAACTCTGGGGCAGAGGCTGAAGCATACCCCGAATTTTGTTAGGGTAATTATTGTGATAATCCCTTCCAATGTAGGTGGTTATATCTTTATTGAATGCAGCATCACCCCATCTGATTGTAGCCGACACTGTCAAAAGCGTTGCTAACTGACTTAGCAAAAGATCTATTGAGTAAAGGATGAAATGGCTATGAAATTGGCTATGAAATTTTTTTCCTCAGCAATTGAACTCGGTCATTTGAGGTCTGCGGAAAAGTTCACGGCAGACTTGCGAACCTTCGTATCAACGCCGCGACAGCGAAGTCACTCGCAGTGCACCCTGCCCGAGGTACTCGCGTCAGCGCAGACAGACTGTGATTGCCGGCGTGTTCAGTATACAAAGGAACTGCGGCAATTCAGACATGAATGCATATTTGATCTGCTTGTATGGCTTTGACGGTATTATAGATGTTGCAGGGTTTTTATGTGCTCTATGCTGGCAGATGCTCCGGTTGTGGCTAGTATCGCCTGGGCAGTGTCAATACGAATAACTTAACTGCGTGGTGTGTGGAACGCGATTGCCTACGTACGCTATCAGAAATGAAACTTTTTCAACTCTGGCAACAAGTCATAATTTCATGAAGAGAACAAATTAGCACCTAGCAAGTCTCGTATCAAACCCGCAATTTCAACAAACGTACGTTAGTTAATTGTACAGGTTAAACTATTTTAAATGATTTTCTTGCTAATTGAATATGGATAAGTAACACCTCTGAATCATTCAGTTGAGCACAGAATGTAATTACGCAGATTTTATATTTTGTTTGAAAATTTTCGTAGAGATGTAAAAACACTATTCTCACTACCTAACCTAAAAACGGCATCACCAGAGCTAAACTGTATACTCCGAAGTCTTCATATCGTCACGCGTTCTAAAATCGCCCGGCAAAAAAAATTGAAGTGCGACGCCTCCTTCCACTGGCAGCATTCCAACCCTTCGTCATGCTGATATCTCAACATATTTATCGCATTACAACGGGTTCGAATGCTACGTTATAATTATTGCTCACGGCGGAAGTGATGTTGATCTATCCATTGTCCCCGTCGTTGAAAATCTCACGGTCAAAAAATGTTTTATTTTGCTTGAATTTGTATTTCCATTCAAAAAGACGTGAACGATTTTTTCGTTGTTCAATTTCCGAATCTCTGTTATTTATGGTACTTCACTTTTGGCTAACCTCATTTTCGGAGGCTCCAACTGAAGTCAAGATATTTATTTCTAGCTCCTGATATATGAATGCTTCTTTGTGTAATAGTAAAGTCTTATACTTCTTCTAGTTAATTCTTCGCATAATATTGAAACTCGGAAATACTTTTTCGAACTCATTCAATCTATCATAACAATGAATTGCATACTGATTCTCTTCCCTCAGAGAGGGTAAAGTGCAGGCAATATGATCTACTTGTAATATAAAAATGGTATAAGCGATGGAATGGTGGCACAAGAATATTGTTTGTTACTTTCGTTCGACGCGCGGACATTTCCGTTAAATTTTCAGCGAAAGTCTGCATCAAAAGATTTTTGTTTCTTTTTGACGATTTTCATTGTTCACACATCAAAATTAAAATTTGATATTGGACATGTATGAGAATTTTGCTGTTATCTCGCCTTGGTTTCTTGACGAGTAAATGTATATAATAATCAATTCCACTTTTCACTAATAAGCACTCCTATTAGCCTGTCTCTTATACACATCTTGATGTGTATAAGAGACAGGCGTNCAATTTTTGAAAAGTCTATAAAGAGAGTTTTAATCACGATACCATTACTGGTTTTCTTAGTTACTTTTACTTTGTCAGGAATTACCAATCATTATTTGCTGTAGAGACTACACAGACCCCCACGCCTGTTTAGACGCTGCTGTGTAGAATTTACTGACCTCTACACAGATTGAAATGCCGCTGTGTAGACTACACTGACCTCCACGCCTGTTTGGACGCTGCTGTGTAGAATATACTGACCTCCCAAAAGATTAAAATGCCGCTGTGTAGACTACACTGACCTCCGCACAGCTGTAGACGGAACTGTAGGTAGCGTAGTCGGTGGCCAGGACGTTGTAGACGATGGGAGGCTCGCCTTGGAACCCTACAATAAACCGGCCGGGGGTGTCTGTGGTCACGGCGTTCCCGTGAAGCAGTTCGATTGATCCGTCGTGGAGGTTAGCAGAGTTCCTGATGGAGAACCTCGTGTCGTCTGAAAATTTTAATTTTCAAATGAATTAGTTACTAGTTCTTGTTATTCGTTCGAGGTTGGTTACGATCACGTTCTTCGTAGCGCTTGCAAATTTTCAATAATAAGATGATCAATTAATTGATTTATCAATCATTAATAAGATGATCAATAAATAAATAGCACGTAACGATGGAAGGCATAACGGATGTATGTAAAACAATATGAGCGACGAATTTATCAATCGTTCTAATTCATTTCTTAACTTTGATAAATCCGTTAGTAACGATTAAAAAAATGTCAATATAGATTCGATATGTGAATGTTTCTGTAAATAATGTTTTTAAAAACGTATTTAGAAGTTTGAGATAGTTACATGTATTTTTTATTATATTTACATACCGGTACTTGCATTTATATTTTATCATTTAATATTATATTATCTATTCAGATTAACTGAATTCTTCTCCAGAAATTCCCTTCGTTGCATCCAACTGTAGTTGATTTCACACACCGCGTGATCCTTTTTTCTCAGCAGTAGAGTTATTCATAGAGATTAATTTTAGAGGGATTTCCGTAATACCTTTGAAGAAACTGCTTCATTACAATGATAATGCTTTATACCCGAAATGTAGTTTGAGAGATTATTGAAGCGAAGAAAAATTATTATTCTTGGGTGATTTGCAAACTCGTATCATTAGTTCAGATGTGGCTTTACATAGTATAGTATCTTCGGCATTGAAGAATAGGCCTGGATAGGCCTGTGGCCGATTCTTGTACTTTTCTTGACTAGACTGGCCTTTTAATCAAATCTTTTTAACGGACGGTAGGTTTAAAATCGCTTCAAGTTTTCAGTTGTTCCGTAGGATACGAGGCATTTTAAGACTAAACATACAGTATGCTCCTGCATGACCTTGTCTAGTCTGTTCTTGAAGGCGTTCATGCTCGGAGCGTCAAAAATATCTTCAGTGAGGCTGTTCCACATGTCGGTGACTCGAAGCGAGAAGAAATGTTGTCGCATGGATGAGTTGCACCGCAATTTTTCTAGTTTATAGATGTGGCCCCTGGTGTTGGTTCTTGTTTCAAATTCTAGTAATCCTTCTGGGACCTTGTACAAACCATGAGTATACTTGTATACTTCAATGAGATCACCACGAAGGCGATGATAACGAAGACTGGGAAGCTACAATAATCTTCAATCTTTCTTCATAAGACTTGCCCTCTAAGCCTGGAATTATCCTTGTTGCACGTCTTTGAACACTCTCTACTTAATTTTTGTCCTTTTCAAGTCTCGGTGACCACACAACGTTTCCAAACTCTAGGTTCGGGCGCACGGCAGAGGTGAACAACAGCTTCATAATTTCTACTCTTAGGAGCGTCTGATCAGCCCAACCAGTTTATTGGATAGCAGTTGGCTTTCATAGGCCTTTGTTGACGATACAATAAATGATTGGTAAAAGTTGAGAAACGGTCATGAAAAATTTGCCTTACCTGGAACAACGTACGTTGAATATGAATCAGAATCAGATAACTTGTTGAATAGTATATTACGCTACCTTCATTTTATAAGATAAATAGAAGACTCACTGACAAGTACGTAATCTGCCGTGACGCAGGCTCTTCCTTTTTCGATTCCATCAGGGTATCGGTGAGTCTCGAACCACCGACCCATGTACTGAAATTTGTGTGTTTTACACTTAAAAACCGATATTTTTCAAATTGATAATGTTTCAAATTTAGTTTGAATTTCATGTGAATTGGGATATATTTTCGATCAAACAATTATTTGATTATGAAGTTTAGAAAGTTGGTTTTTTGTTATCTGCCTCAGAGCCGGTCCATGATTGAAGCCTTTTAAAGATGAAGATGGGTTGAATATTCCTAAAATATTTCAGAAAAAATCTATGGGACTGGAGTGACCTAAGGTCTCCTATATAACGAATCTAATTGGAATTTACTTCGGCAAACATTACTAGAGCGTCACGAAATTAGCACATTGAGTAGACTGGACAACTGCCGAAATATAGTTACAGTTCGAAGAAAAACGCTTTAATAAAAAAAACGAAAGCTTTCAATAACATACATGATACATGGAACGATATAATGATGACTGTGAAAGTTGACATGCAGATTGACTATTCTGATCAGATGTCCATTTAGCAGCTAATCTGTTGCCACCTCACAACATAATTTTTCATGAGAATCACAGAGACATTTCAATGCAACTTGGATACGCGTCCACGAGTTGGCAGTAGGAAGATATTTGCAAAAATTACTTAAGAAAGTATGAAAGGTACTATTTTTTGAATTTCTTGCTCGAGATATTCGTGCATGCGATAATTTTTTTGCTTGTATATTGGTTATTTACAATTGGATGGAATGATATTTCTGATATGTTTAGTTACAGATGGACATTTGTAATATTGGATTGCTATGGAAAATAAACTATAAATGCACTGATGTGTGGTTTTGATTTATATCATCAATATACTCACAGAAGGAAGGTCGAACTCGTCGACGTGTTTGATTGAAGGACAATTGCCCTGGTCGAGGTAAGCGTTCGTCAGGCCAGCCACGGCCAGCAGGAGTACAGCGGAGAACCTGCGTCAAAGGGAATTTCACAAGTGACATTGAATTTACGAAACCGGTTATTCATTTTTAACGATTCAATGAATTGAAATGGAAAAATGCGAGAAGAACTCTTGCTCGTAAAAAAATTCATAAATTTTAACTCTAGAGTTGATTTCTGTGGAGCGGTCATCCGAAATTCAGGTCATGTAGCAGCAATCATTATAAATACCTATAGCATGATTGGCTGTCGTTTGTTTGACGAGAGATGCTTCTTAATAGCAATCATGTAAGCTGAACATGCAACTTGGGTAACATGATCAAAACTTACATGGTAGTCGTTAAATTTCCTCCCGTAACAAGATGGTACTGAATTAATATGCTTATTGTCTAGTGTATTAGCCTACTAAACAGTTTCACGTAATGAAAAGTGTTTGAGTTAATTGAATATTAGTTTAACAACATCGAAACAAATTTTTTAATTAAAGCCTGCCTGTAAATTTCAAACCGTGAGAATATTAAATACCATTGAATTTTGGATAATTCTTTGGTTACCTCAACTTTTAATTCAATTTAAAGAAGAAAAATTTGTATAAAGACATTTTCACCATTTCGGTTTCATGAATTTTGTTAATCATCCAATTTCATAGTTTTCTTGAAATTGAGTTCTATAGCCAGCTTCAGCGGGCTGGATAATTATGACCTTCCGCCTCTTGTGGGTGATAAATGATTTTTTGATTTAAGAAACTTTCGATAACTGAAACTTTCCACCTCATTGATGATGTTCATTTTTACCTTCGGTGCGAGATAGTTAAAGAGCTGAAGCGCTAGTAAACATGTGGCAACTAACCTAACCTAACCTATTGTTGACGTCAATTCGATAGACATTGGATAATTTTCAACAATTCTATTTTTCATGGTACGGTATGCGTTTCTAGTGACGCAATCTGTTATTAGTTTGTTTAATGCTTGTGATCTTTCACCGGGCAATCAGTCGTCTTATAAATGAAAAAAATAAAATTAATGTACTTTCATCGGTGGATTAATTGGCATTTACAAGCGTGAAATCCATCTATTGTGGATTTTTTACGAATTTTTCCCTCAAATTGAAACGAATTGTATTCCAATAATTTGCTTTTTAATAAAATATGATACGTTGTGGCTGCTGAATCTCTATTACTTTATTTTGGGGTTGATTACATGCTTTAACTCTCGAGTTTATTTGAATGAAAATAATGCAAAAATATTTGAAAATCGTCCCAATTCAGGGTAAATTTATTATGGTGTTGATGGTAAGTAAACAATGGATTTTGCAGTTCGTTTTATTTCTCAGTGATTTGAAAGCTCTTTTGTTTTCTTGTGTCTGAATGACTGCAGTTCAACGATTATTTTCGTTATTATAAATATAGTACTATCCACTTACACAATACAAGTAGATAGCTAACTCTGACAATCTTTTCCCACTATTTTCTGTCACGTATTTTTAATTATCCGTATAATACCAGGGATGACCTTCCAACCTATTCCTACTCATCGTTTATACATAAAACCAGGTTATAATTTTCGTTAAACTTACGACAGTTCTAAGCATAGACGGGAATTCATGCCAAGTTTATTACGTAACATTTGCTCGGGCTGTTATTTCCCAGGCCATCCAATGGCGCCGTGCAACTGTTGCAACTCAGCACTGTCACTGGATTATTTTCATTAATTAATTGTGTCATTAGTTTTTACATGAAATAAATTCAAATTTCGCCTTATGAAACTGAACTTAGAAACAATGCTTTGATTTTATAATTCGTCTGTATCGTAAAATCGTAAAGTTCTAAGATTTGTTCTCTATGCCTTTGCGATAATAAAAAGTTCGATAACGCCGTTGGTAGTTCAAAAACACCAATTTGTTTATCCAAAATAAGTATTATCTTGTACCAAATATCACCATTATTATCGTTATCATTAATTTATTTTAATGACCAATTCGTATTTCCTTTATATTTTTCTAGCGTCATATCTGGTTACTATTATACTTTGTTCTCAGTGTCAGCCTAGTCCTTTGCGGACGAGGACAGCTGCTCTCACTATTCTAGGTCTTGACATTGTCTGTCACCATTCATTCATTATTCGATAACCAAATTATATTTAATCCTCGTGAGAAGATTAATAGCGAGGTTCAAAAACCGATAGATAAATAAAATTCGAAACGCCTCAAGCCCTTCCACTAGCACCATTATCACTCTGGCCATGCTGCATGTAGCAAACTCGACTCAAATAAACTGGCTTAAATATTAATTTTATATTATTATTAAATAAATTAAAAATAATATATGATGCCACATTATAATGGTAGCTGTAGGCGGAAATAAGATTGATGCATCCACAGTAACCGTTGATGGTAATTTCTTTGTCAATAAATGTTTTTTCCTAAAAGTTTTATTAGTTTAAAAACATGGCGAAATTTTTTCTCGCTATCTAATATCTGAAATTAAATAGTTTGTCTTTCTTCAATTTTTCTTGTAATCAAAATTTCCTTGGCCGTTGCAGAAGGTTTCAAATTTAATTTTAGCTCCCGAAAGGAAAATGCTTTCCCTCCTTTTCTTCCACCAAACACAAAATTGAATAGCATATATTGTAATGACTGTCTACCGCTAAGTGTTTTATCAATTCAAAACTTTATAACCTAGCCAGCGCTCTAACAGTAACCAGCGCATGATATAATGTGACCAATCAGTTAAGTTCTACTTAGGAAATGCAGGAAACCTGCCCTGCACCACCAGCCCTTGAATTGTATATGACTATCTGGTTATCGTTAAATTACGTAAATTTTAGCGCACAGCATCTGAGGTTAGGTTTCAGCTAATAAAGTTTGGTTCCAAAAGCAATCGTCCTTCGACGAGTGGCAGTTCGATCGCGGGCTGCATGATTTGTTGTAACGAATAAATACTGACGGCTGGTTGGCGTGGAAAATGAATTTTTTAACGCTGTTGAGGCGCTTTGACTGATTGGTGTAAAATTATTTCTTGTCTTTGCGGACGATTCTGCCACATACTATTTCCTGCTTGTTTGCTAAGGGCTGGTTGGTTTAGTTCGAATGCTGTGTTGTGACCAGAATGACTACCCGCTGATAATTTCGACAGACCAGAATTTTTGGAATCTTTGTTATTGAAGGAAGGGATCACGTCAGTCCTTAATTTCGATGCTGGGCAGTGTTGGTCTCCTTCAGGCAATCCATTGAGAAAATTGAATTAGAAGAATATATTTTGTCGCTTTGGTTCGAAGCGCGTTCATTTCTATGAAATTTTCATTGAAAGTCCACATCGAACCATTCACGTTTTTTTTACTTATTGAAGATTTTCATCGCTTGCCAAACGAAACTCGAATTTTGATATTGACACGTATGGAAAGTTACTGTTAGCTTATCTTGTTCTTATTTGCGTGTAAGTGTGAAATAAACCGACTAATAAACTCCGTTGAAATGAACTCCATTCATCTTTGAATGGTAACATTCAAAATGCGGGTCTATTTACCTCTTCAAATGTGTAATATGATGCAAAATATTGCTATTGTATTTATCAACATTAAGCATATCTCGAAGCATTGTTCAGATTTTTAAATAAAAGTTTAGTGTAATTTAGTGGCCAAATGTTTACTAGCGTTTCAGCTACATAGCTAACTCTCACACCAAAAGTTAAGATGAACGTCACCGAAGAAGTGGAAGGTCTTAGTTATTGAGAGTTTCTTGAATCAAAAAATCGTTCATCACCCACAGGGGGCGGAAGGTCTCAGATGTCCAGCCCGCTGAAGCTGGCTTGAAAGAAGCAGCGTTAGCATCTCAAAGAGACGAAGTGACAAGGAGGGACAGGTGACAAGGAGGGACAGGTGACAAAGAGGGACAGGTGACAAAGAGGGACAGGTGACAAGGAGGGACAGGTGACAAGGAGGGACAGGTGACAAGGAGGGACAGGTGACAAGGAGAGAGAGATGAAAAGCAACAGAAGCGAGTACACTCGAACAAGAGGTCGCCTACACGGGACGTCGTCCTCCCGCACGAGAGAGACAGAGAAGGGAAATTTAAGGAATCCTACCTACATAATAACTTAGTGTAGGGAATCCTACCTACATAATAACTTAACCCCACAACTGAGACCTGCAGTCAGACACCGCGAGCTCAGCGGTGGGGCGCTCAGGAACAATCTACCTAGGAGCGCGAAATCCCATAGGACTTCTGACGTGCACAGACACCCGTCAGACCACCCGATACAGACACCCGATTTTTTTAATACAAACATAATATTCAAATAATATTAATTGACCGAGACCAGCACCTCTAAAGAAAGCAATTGACACTAAAACGATGCAATTGTCCTTCAAAACTTTCTTAATCTATCAGTAAGTCGGTCGTCTATAACTATACTCGTGAATGTAATTGAATGGAAATATCCTGTGTCATCTTGACATTGAACATGCAATCTAAAAGAGGAAAATTAAATGAATGTAAATGCTTTTCTTTTACTTGTCACAGACACTTTCATGTTCTATGATCATATCGTTCCATTCCACAAGTTGATAACCGTCTTACTGCATAGCGTAAAAATCAAATTCCTCAAATTCGAAAATTACACCGGTTTCTCATGCAGCCTTTAAACCTTGGGAGGCGGACTCGTGTAGACGCAGTGTCCGCCTTGCGGCGTGACCTGCAGGACGGACGTGTCGATGTTGTTAGAGTCGAAGGCGTCCAGCGCCGCAGCCTGTACGAGGGATTTATGTTAACGAAGTTGTGGCGGTTATTGACCGCTATAGCTTCTAAAATTTCCATTTTAAACAAAAATGTAGTGTTTGTTGGCCGCTAAAATTTCTGAAGTTTCTATTTTCAACAAAGTGGTGGCGGTTATTGACTGCTTACACGCCTAAAGTCTCTGTTTTTAACAAAGTTTTGACGGTTGTTAACCGAAATATGACGCTCTAATATGATACTCCACGGCATTTTTATTGAGAAGTTTATAGGTCATGAATTCTTTCTGAACAGAATTTAGTTATTATGTGATGTAAAAGACCATTTTCAATTTTGCAACTAAGAGACCTTAACCGCATTAGACTAGATGCTGAATTCAAAATCTTATGCAAATAATGGCATGATTTTCTCTACTAATTTTACTGCAATAAGCGCATTATAAAGAAATATTTTAATGTAATCATTGTTCAAATGCTGATATAATTAATCTAACCACTCTGAAGTAATCATTCAGTTATGAAAATAATTCTACTGATACCTCGGTTTTATTCAGTTACCCATCATAACTTTGTACTCACGAGTGCGTCCGGGTCGAGCCGTTCAGTGCGGGACAGCACCCACGCGAACTGCTCGCGGTAGTCTTCTCCCTGCGCCAGATTTGCTCATTTTGGGATGCAATGTATCATGAAATCGCTACAAAAATGTGATAGATTTAATTCAGTCTGTAATGTATTTCCGAAGAAAAATTTTCATCTAAAAGAAGTCAAGTAGTTTGATAATCATGAGTACTAATGATGAAAGAACTACTAATGCGAAGAATATGTTTTTGTGGTCCTCTGCTATTGTTGTCTTTCGTGGAATATTTTATTGGCAAGATGAATTTTACTTTTGTTTATCCAAAATTTTCTACTCTATATCATGAATGATTACCGTATAAGCTGATCTACCTCCAACCATTGCCCAACAGGTAAGATACTTTAGACTAGCAAGAAATGGCTAAATTTAATTCCGCAGGCGTTGACGATATTTGGATTCGTCATTCCCCTATAAAGATTTTACTCTTTTTCAAGCCAGTCCAAAAAGCGTCGTCTATCCTCCCAGTCATTTGTTCTATGCACGTTTCTCTTTCGCTCTCGGTTAATACATTTATTACATCTGGTTAATACATTGCTTCTTTTGAAATATATTTTTGAAATTGTTCCAAATGCGTAGCTTGTAAAAAAGTGGCTTTGGCAGGAATTGCCAAACATTAATTGCTGCAGAGAGACTACACTGACCTCCACGCCTGTTTGGACGCTGCTGTGTAGAATATACTGACCTTCCCACAGATTAAAATGCCGCTGTGTAGACTACACTGACCTCCGCACAGCTGTAGACGGAGCTGTAGGTAGCGTAGTCGGTGGCCAGGACGTTGTAGACGATGGGAGGCTCGCCTTGGAACCCTACAATAAACCGGCCGGGGGTGTCTGTGGTCACGGCGTTCCCGTGAAGCAGTTCGATTGATCCGTCGTGGAGGTTAGCAGAGTTCCTGATGGAGAACCTCGTGTCGTCTGAAAATTTTAATTTTCAAATGAATTAGTTACTAGTTCTTGTTATTCGTTCGAGGTTGGTTACGATCACGTTCTTCGTAGCGCTTGCAAATTTTCAATAATAAGATGATCAATTAATTGATTTATCAATCATTAATAAGATGATCAATAAATAAATAGCACGTAACGATGGAAGGCATAACGGATGTATGTAAAACAATATGAGCGACGAATTTATCAATCGTTCTAATTCATTTCTTAACTTTGATAAATCCGTTAGTAACGATTAAAAAAATGTCAATATAGATTCGATATGTGAATGTTTCTGTAAATAATGTTTTTAAAAACGTATTTAGAAGTTTGAGATAGTTACATGTATTTTTTATTATATTTACATACCGGTACTTGCATTTATATTTTTTCATTTAATATTATCTACTCAGATTAACTGAATTCTTCTCCAGAAATTCCCTTCGTTGCATCCAACTGTAGTTGATTTCACACACCGCGTGATCCTTTTTTCTCAGCAGTAGAGTTATTCATAGAGATTAATTTTAGAGGGATTTCCGTAATATCTTTGAAGAAACTGCTTCATTACAATGATAATGCTTTATACCCGAAATGTAGTTTGAGAGATTATTGAAGCGAAGAAAAATTATTATTCTTGGGTGATTTGCAAACTCGTATCATTAGTTCAGATGTGGCTTTACATAGTATAGTATCTTCGGCATTGAAGAATAGGCCTGGATAGGCCTGTGGCCGATTCTTGTACTTTTCTTGACTAGACTGGCCTTTTAATAAAATCTTTTTAACGGACGGTAGGTTTAAAATCGCTTCAAGTTTTCAGTTGTTCCGTAGGATACGAGGCATTTTAAGACTAAACATACAGTATGCTCCTGCATGACCTTGTCTAGTCTTTTCTTGAAGGCGTTCATGCTCGGAGCGTCAAAAATATCTTCAGGGAGGCTGTTCCACATGTCGGTGACTCGAAGCGAGAAGAAATGTTGTCGCATGGATGAGTTGCACCGCAATTTTTTTAGTTTATAGATGTGGCCCCTGGTGTTGGTTCTTGTTTCAAATTCTAGTAACCCTTCAGGGACCTTGTACAAACCATGAGTATACTTGTATACTTCAATGAGGTCACCACGCAGGCGTTGATAACGGAGGCTTGGAAGCTTCATAATCTTCAATCTTTCTTCATAAGACTTGCCCTCTAAGCCTGGAATTATCCTTGTTGCACGTCTTTGAACACTCTCTACTAAAATTTTGTCCTTTTCAAGTCTCGGTGACCACACAACGTTTCCAAACTCTAGGTTCGGGCGCACGACAGAGGTGAAAAACAGCTTCATCATTTCTACATCATAGGAGCCCAAGCAGTTTATTGGATAGCAGTTGCCTTTCATAGGCCTTTGTTGACGATACAATAATTGATTGGTAAAAGTTGAGAAACGGTCATGGAAAATTTGCCTTACCTGAAACAACGTACGTTGAATATGAATCAGTATCAGATAGCTTGTTGAATAGTATATGCAGCTACCTTCATTTTACAAGATAAATATAGAAGACTCACTGACAAGTACGTAATCTGCCGTGACGCAGGCTCTTCCTTTTTCGATTCCATCAGGGTATCGTTGAGTCTCGAACCACCGACCCATGTACTGAAATTTGTGTGTTTTACACTTAAAAACCGATATTTTTCAAATTGAAAAAGATTCAAATTTAGTTTGACTTTCATGTGAATTGGGATATATTTTCGATTAACGTTGATTGGATTAGGAAGTCTAGAAAGTTTGTTTTTTGTTGTCTGCCCCAAAGCCGGTCCATGATTGAAGCCATTTAAAGATGAGGATGGAGTGAATATTCCTAAAATATTTCATAAAACATCTATGGGATTGGAGTGACTTAACGTCTCCTATATAACGAATCTAATTGGAATTTACTTCGGCAAACATTACTAGAGCGTCACGAAATTAGCACATTGAGTAGACTGGACAACTGCCGAAATATAGTTACAGTTCGAAGAAAAACGCTTTAATAAAAAAAACGAAAGCTTTCAATAACATACATGATACATGGAACGATATAATGATGACTGTGAAAGTTGACATGTAGATTGACTGTTCTGATCAGATGTTCATTTAGCAGCTAATCTGTTGCCACCTCACAACATAATTTTTCATGAGAATCACAGAGACATTTCAATGCAACTTGGATACGCGTCCACGAGTTGGCAGTAGGAAGATATTTGCGAAAATTACTTAAGAAAGTATGAAAGGTACTATTTTTTGAATTTCTTGCTCGAGATATTCGTGCATGCGATAATTTTTTTGCTTGTATATTGGTTATTTACAATTGGATGGAATGATATTTCTGATATGTTTAGTTACAGATGGACATTTGTAATATTGGATTGCTATGGAAAATAAACTATAAATGCACTGATGTGTGGTTTTGATTTATATCATCAATATACTCACAGAAGGAAGGTCGAACTCGTCGACGTGTTTGATTGAAGGACAATTGCCCTGGTCGAGGTAAGCGTTCGTCAGGCCAGCCACGGCCAGCAGGAGTACAACTGTGAACCTACGGCACAGGGAATAAAATTGTGTAGAAAATAATATGGTTGTCACATTATTAGAGCATTCAAGTAGACTATAAAATTTAAAAGTTATCCCATCGTAAATGCAAAGAAATTTATTATAAAATATGAAAATTATCTTGCTTTATAGCAATCAAACTGAGTGTCAAATAAATTAGTTATCACGTCATCAGGGTTGTTGAGAAAAGCAACCCAAAATTCGCGGAAGGTATAAATCTGCAGCTTCTAATAATTAGCATCTATTTAATTTCATGTGTTACGTTGTAATTATTCATATTAATAATAACATGAAACAAACCACTTTGTTACACGAATTTTCGAGGCGTTCATGCACTAAAACTTTATCTCATAACAAAATAAGAAGACTTGAAATATTGTAGTACCAAAGTTGCAAATATATATTAACTTTACTCGATTGCTAGATCAATGCTTTTCTTAAATCTTATATCTTTTCAATTTACATATGCAATTATTTTAGAAAACTAAAAAACCAAAAAGAAAAATGTTTGGGAATTGTTTCATTAAAGTGTTACGGTACATGATTTTTCGTTTCACTAAAACTCTACTTTTCGAGATGATCGCGAAATGTTTATGAATATTCAATGCCTCGCTCACCCGTTCATGCTTGTGATGAAGTCAGACGATGTCGGACGATAACTGCGATTTAGACGTGACCGCGCACTCCTTATATCGTCTGCACCGTCGGCCAAATGTCGTTAGTTTCAGGCCGCGGGAACGAAGGCAAAGTCCGTCTGACGTCACGGCAGCAGCTGTAGTTTGGTTATCAGGTCACATGACTTGTTTTGGATACTAACCACACCATGCAAAGGTTATGGTTCTCTACTTTTAATTTGTTTTTCAATTTATTCAGTAATAACATAGAAGCCATTGAATTGATAGAGACCGTATATCAAAATTTATTAATTCTGATGCTTCGAAATAACCCGCATCTCGACAATAATACATTAATTTATGCAAACATATGCACTCTTGATAATTAAATTTGATATAAATATGTGGAAATCTAGCTTCAAAATCCCTTAATATTCTGTTACCGCATGTTTAGCAATTATTTGCTTCCGATTTAATTTTATAATTCACGGAAATGCATCGTAAATGAACGAATTTCCGCGTATTGCGTGCGTTACTTACACCATTTACCGTTTATTTCTCCTGTTCAGTGAATAATTTTTATTCATGATGTATCGATGATTACGTTTTATGCTCGACACAATCCGCATTTTATGCAGAAGATATACAAGCTCGATAAAATCCGCAGTTTTAATATTGTATGCTAGTCAATCTTGCTCTTGAATTGCCCGTCACTTTCACTAGCTGAAAAATAGTATTGGATATCTGGATATTAATTATTGAGTGTTGAATGTTTAAAAAACGTTACTTCTAAGTCCTCATTTTGAGACAATGTTATTTTTTCATCTAAATTTCAAGAACACGTTATTTCCTAGCTCACTTATTGTGAAAACGATATTTTTAATTTCAAATTTTAGGAAAACGATTTTTTATATTGCATATCAAAAACGCTTTTTTCTAGCTTATATATCACCATTTTCCAGCTCGCAAAACGTTATTTTCAAGTTCACATATCGTGAAAACGCTACTTTCTAGCTTAAATATTCGAAAACCGTTTTTATCGATTCAATTATTTGTGAGAACGTTATTCCCTAGCTCACTCATCGCGAAAACGTTATTTTTAAGTCAATATTTTGTTGAAACTTTATTTAATAATTCACTCGTATGAAAACTTTTTTCCCAGGTTCAAGAACCGTTTAAAGGCAACTTTCTAGTTCTCATTGTTACGGGAGAGCGGGTAACTACTAATAATTATGACAGAGCTGCCTAAACGCTCAATGTCCCCGGGCAGGAGATGCTACTGGTAACGAGGGATGACGCATACAATAAGACCTACTAAGGCACAAGAATAAAATTCAACCCGAAGTTTTATTCAATCTAGACAAATAAACTTAGACAAATATAAATACTAACTACCTACTTCATCGGCTACTTAACTAAAAAAAACATTTATTCAAATATTCGACCCGCGACAATTCTAAAACCTATTGACCTTTACACAAAACTGAATACGAGACGCGCCGACTTCCCGAGAGCCGCGTATCTCTTCAGGGGAAGCCCTAATACATTACCGTGCCACCTCAAGCGGCACAGATACCGGCCCTGGAACACGATGGCTCGGCCCAGGCAAGCCTAGGGGGGTCACGCCTCCACGAGGAACTTCAAGACTCTGGTTAACTTGTCATTAGGCGCTCCAATAGGGTACGACGGTAAGCGCCCAACGCGGCTCGGCTATGCAGAGCACACGGGAAACCAAGGGGCAGACTGGTCAAGTCGGCTCCCACGTCAGGTAAACCCTGGAGGCAGTCGGCTTCTTCCAACGGTGCACGTCCACGGTACACCCCTGAACAAACGCCTGAGAGGAACACGGTCGGTTCTCAGAAGCCGACGCCACACCAGAAAGGCCCTCCCACCTCATCCACGGAAGCAAACGAACCAAAATGGCCAGCCTAAAACCGCTCAGCCCACTCGTGACCTCGCGGCAGATTCGTTTAGAGAACACCTGCGTGTCAAACCTCTACATTCCCCCCCGCCAAGACGAATCGCACGGGAAGAGGTCCCCTAGAACTCCTGCGCAATCTACGCTGGTTATATTCTAGCACTACAGGCTGAACGCGTTCGATGTCACGCACGTACCCCCGTGACCTCGTTCGAACTCCCAACACCGAGGGCATCCCATGAGAAGGCACCCCCCGGTTTTCGTGGGGGGGGAGCTGTAACCCCGCAAGGTACCGACGGGAGAGGCACTCCTCCAGACACGACACAGGAGTCGCGATCCTTATTCGTTAGCAGCGGCTCCTGACATGCGTTCGCTGGAACTTCCGAAACCGTGTCCGAAGAGTCATCTCGGGCCCCACCAAGGAGCCCGACATCGTCCTTCCTAGGAGAATCCTCAGGATCAATTTCACTCGCATTCCAGAAATCCAAGTCCGAAGTGATAACAACGTTACACATACGCGGGCCCCGTCCACTTGAAGACACAAGTCTGGCACCACAGAGGCTGGGGGCATCTGCGACGTCACTGCCGGGCGATCTGTCCCCGCTACACTCCGAGCGCATACGTTCTCCATTTCTACCGCAATCCCTCGCTGAAGGCTCAGCAACATGCTCTCGTTGCAAATCCGCAATCAAAGTTCTTGCATCCATAGTTGTAACAGGTCTCGTGTCGCTGTCATCACCACTGCCTAGGCACGCCCCCCGCATGCGAGGTCGAGCTGGCGTGGGTAGCGTAGTTGCGGAGCTAGAAGGCATTCCCCTCATGTGCCGCTCCTCGCACTGAGGGCGAACTAGTTTAACGGGACAGCTTCCGTTTCTGCGCAATGTTTTCCCAAGTGGGGACCACCGCACCGAGAGCACGTCGGGATTCCACGAGGGCAACGTTCCCGCTGGTGCTGCGGACTGCCACAGCCTTGGCAACAGCCCCTCTTTTCCCAGCAGGCGTCCTCGATATGACCTGGCCTACCGCACCAATCGCATAACGCCTGGCGCTGCGGGAATCGATCGCCTCGCGGCATGCAGGCTGCGTTGGAACTTAGAATTGTAGTAGGTGCTGGGTGCCGCAGGCGTAGGGCGTTTCGGGGTTGCGCCCGTCGGATCCACGTGCTCAGCACTCCCATGGGATATCCCACCAGTACGCTCCCGAGACCACTCGTTGAAAGCATTGACCTCCATCACGCTGCGACACTCCTGTGATTGCCCATGCCGATTCTCAAATCGACGCTGTCGATCCTCCGATGCAGCCAGTTGCTTGATGTTCTGCCAGGTCAGCTTGCGTTTACCCGTTGCCAGCAAGACGCCGCGCTGTGATTCCGACATTACCTGACGGAAACCGAATGGGGAGGCAGTCCAAAATTTACGAACGAGGTGCCGTTCCTGCTCACGAACCGAATCCGGGTACGCTCGCCTAACAATCCGTTCCATTCGCAAAGCGAAGATGGCTAGGCTATCCCCCTGCTGCAAATGAGCTCGCTCGAATTCCTCTTCTGCCTGACGCTGCGAACTGATTCGTTCGCCGCGATACCACTCCAAGAGACGAGGACGCAGTTCTCTATAACGAATGTTCGTCCCACCCATCGCGNCGGCTCCCACGTCAGGTACACACTGGAGGCAGTCGGCTTCTTCCAACGGTGCACGTCCACGGTACACCCCTGAACAAACGCCTGAGAGGAACACGGTCGGTTCTCAGAAGCCGACGCCACACCAGAAAGGCCCTCCCACCTCATCCACGGAAGCCAACGAACCAAAATGGCCAGCCTAAAACCGCTCAGCCCGCTCGTGACCTCGCGGCAGATTCGTTTAGAGAACACCTGCGTGTCAAACCTCTACATCATATCATGAACACGTTTTTTGTTAGTTCACACTTCATTTAAACGTTATTCCAAGTCCACATATTGTGGAAATAATATTTCCTACTCCACATAACGTGAGAATATTCTTCACTATAGTTCACATATGGAGAAAACTATATTTTTTAATATGAATATTGTAGGAACATTATTTCGTAATCCTGGAAACAAAATTAATACTCGGTTTTTAGTATCGTTTTCTGTACTGCAAAATCATCCGGTAGTGACCAGAAAATCAATTATGCCCCATGTATTACATTAGAAGTGTACTCAGACATCGTGTCAACATTCAAGATCCATTGATGATGAAAATCTTTGATAAAATGAAATAATAAAACTTTACTTCCTGACGATATATCTAAAGCATTATATTCCTACGACCGTCTACGTTTAAAATTATTTATCCTCAAATCATGGCCATTGAATTCGAAACCACTGATGCAGTCTGTGTCAAGCCATTGCTGTTTTCTTGGTAGAGCCTAACTACACCCTAAGTCTGAACCAAGAGTTAATTTCATGGTAATTTTCATTAAAATGGGAGTCATTTTGTTGATACCTTGAAAGAGGTGAATAAAAGACAAGTAGTCTAAGGAAATGTGAAATTTTTTTCCATCATTTAAACTGTGAAGTTCCCCTTCCAGCTTGATTCTCGTAAAATTTTTTGATAATAATCAAGCCGCAGCTCGATTAAGAGTTAATGCACGTTTGCTTATAGTAAAATAAAGGTAATGATTTTGTCATGTATTTATAGATTTAACATCTGGTTACGTTCTCTCTCTGTACTTAGCGAAGGCGGACGAATGACGTCTGGTTCCACTGCAGGTGAGACGTGCAGGTTTCGATATCTCCGATCTTGACGTTAATTGAAAGCAAATGTTGTGTCACACACACGGGCAAAGTCACGAAGAAAATTATTGAAATGAAGTTTATTTATTTTGGGAAACTAATAAGCTCATTCATAAATATTCGACCACTAAGAAAGTACTTAGATCAAATCTTCACTGAAATTTAAACGTATGAAGAATATATGCATTTTACGAATAATATGAAAATACTCGTATGTAGAATGTATCCTTGGACACTTTTATGGTACAAAACTAATTAATTACATTCGGTCGATATTAACAAAATGAAAATGGTTTGATTATCATGAACATTAGCATGTACCAAGGTGGAAATTTGAAAAATTACATTACAAATATTTTTCATTGTCGCATTCTCAGCCGATAAGTGACAGCTTAGATACTTT